AGAAAGAGAATTCAATTGTTATGAATTTTGAGGGCAACATTGGATGATATGAAGAGTCTTAGAGTAAGGCTGACTGGATCTTAAATCCTGGATCTACCCATACCCCAGTTTTGCTACTTTAGCTAGTTTATTTAACCTCTCTGAAAATCAGTTTTCTCTTCTGTAAGATAAGAATAAGGCTACCTATAAGGCTGCTGTCAGAATGAGAGAGATGCATGGAGAGTGACCAGCACAGTCACTGGGACGTGGGCTACTCCCGACCTTTTCTTAAAATATATTAATTTTCATTCTTATACTTAGTAATAAATAATAAAACAACTGTCTTCATATGCATATCAGCTCTATAATTTAACTTTCTACCTTCATTTCAAATTGATTATACTCTTAAAACAACTGTGATTTATGGCAGGGCATGAACATCACCTGGAGATCACACATTCACCTGTGGATTTCCTGTTGGACAAAAACACATGACTGATTTCCTTATTTTTTATTAGACTTCTAAAATTTCATCTCTTTAGTGGTAGCAAAAACTTAGTTTTTAAATCTTTAACCTTTATAGATATAAAGTATACCTTATATTTTCTGTACATTTTAGAGACCATGAGAAAGCTTAAATTTGAAGTTTCCATGCATTTTTTTCTCTTTCTCTCATTTGAACCCCCCTCTACAAAATGATAACATATTAATGGAGCCAAACTCCTTCAGGAACCTGAGAAACTGTCATGTTTCCATATTTTGACCCCTGTTTAACTCTTCCCTGTAATCTACTCCATCCTAAGAACAAGATATATAAATCTATAAACATGTTGGGAGTAAAATTATTTTTGTACATAGGCTCCCAAACTCTCCTTTCCTGAGGCTCACCAGAATGGCTTTGTCTGCACCCAATTTTCCCCTCTCCTTCAACCTCAAAGGAGGATCCTGCCCTTGCCAAACTCATTTTTTAGGATTTTGTGATGCAGAATTATGAGAGAAGTTGGTGGAAGAAAAGAATGAAATGTTCTCATGGTAGGGCTGGCAGTGAAGGAATAGGGCCGTGGAGATCGCTGAACACTGAGCAGCAGGGTGTACGTGGAGGAACAGATGGGAGAGGAAGGCGGTGTTGTGAAGAAACCCATAAATGTCTTGCAAGTTGTGTTCTTTCCAGAAATGAAAGACTTGCTGTTATGTTGAAATTAATTTTTGATGGCTGGACTGTATTCATGACTATGTCATTATTCTGAGACTGAACCATGTGGGTCATAATTTTTCTAATTAGTCTTAATAAGGTTAAATTCATGTGAGACTAAGCCACAATGATAAGAGCCACTTGGAGTGATTGGTTAGATGTTAACATCGCCTACGAAGAGCCACGGATAAGAAAAACAGCGTAGGTCCGTGGTTCGCAGATCTTAGGATACATAAGAGTCACCTGAGGATCATTTTACATCTTGGACCCCATTCCAATTAGTTTTGATGCTTTGTTGGGGTCAGAGTCTAGGAATCTGCAATATTTCATTGTCCCCACATGATTCTGACACAGAGTGTCTATGAACCCCATTCTGGCTCAAGGCCAGTAAGTGTCAGACTTCTCCAGAGTTCTGTGTGCCATGGGGGCTCCTGTAGCTCAACCACAGAAGTGTTAGCAGTGTTCCTTTGGATTGGCCCAAAGAAAAGTCTCTAGACATTTTCTATTGCATGCTTCCTAGTCATTTTTGCAGAGACATCTCGCCTTCTCTGGGGCTCTTTATCTCCCCTCACCCTTCTTTGTAATCTATAGATCAGCTGAAGACAAGAATTGTTTTTTTCTGTTTTACAGAACAAGCGTTTATCTAAAACCCTCTCCAACACGAACACAAGCTATTAAATTACATTCACCGGGGTTGTCTCACCAATGCAAATTTCTACAAAATCTTAATAGGACGATAATTGGAAAAAAGAGTAGTAGGGTGCGGATTGTAAGGATTAATTTGCCTGACTACATAACAGACTGCTGCAATGAAAACACGAAATGTTTTGCTTGCAGGAGCCTTTGAAAGAGGCTGCATCTGTCTAAGTAGAAATGTTTCCTCACCCATAATCAACTTTGGCTGTAGATTACCCAGGTTGCCCATTTGTAAACCACACAATGAAAATATTTATGCTTGTCTCCTGGTAGGGTTTGCCTAGAGCTTTCAGAGCCTTGATTGGAAGGTGTTAGGACCACCCATCATAAAATACCAAAAGTTCTAAAGACAACATTGCTCAATCTAGCCTGTCGCCATTCATCATGCAGGTGACACAGAAAATTGTGATCCCTGAAGCGGGACTCAATGTGAAATGAATCATCATGAAATATATGATTTTGTGGAAACGCTGGAATATCAACTTGCCAGCTCAGTCCTCACAGGGAAGACGCTTCTGTGACCTTTTGGTAAACATGCGCAATAACTACCCAGGAAATGGCTGTATTGATTGGTCAGCCCTGGAGACGCACGAGTAAGAAGACCTAGGAGCAGATGTACCCGTGGTTAGATGCTGTTCCACCTAGCTTATATCCTCCATACCTGTCCATCCTGTAATGATCATGTCCCACCAAATCTGGAGATGATATCTTGAAGACGATATTCATCTTAAATAATTTCAACTCTATAATGATGTATTTCCCTTGTCTCAGCCATAGCTCTGCTAGGGATTAATAAGTGAAGCAGTAGCAAGCAATAAGAAAGGCAGATGGAGAAAAGGTAAAACCACTTAATGTTTTGGATACTTGAGCCAACTTCCTTTAGGAAACCATTCTACCAGATTCCTATCTGTTAGCAGATGTCTTATCTCTTAAAAGACATATTAATTATTGATGGGCTAAAGATGCCTGTTGTAAAAATCTAATACCCAAAGGTAGTGAAATGATTTTTAAATATTTTCTTTTTTTTCTTTCTTTCCACAGTGTAGAAAATCTTAAAGTGTAATACATTTTGAAGACAATGCTATAGTGATTAACACGCTGGCTTCCAATATCTGAGATGTTGTTGTCTTAAAAAAAAAAAAAAAGCATTAACCAGCCAAACAGGCTTGCTTCACATCCAGAACTGCTGGTGGTTTCTCAGTTACTTTTCTTAGAGACTTGGTGGAACTAGACTTAAAAGCTTAAGACTCAAATCAAACACATATCACTTTACAGACCAATAAGCCTAAAGCCCTTTATTTCCAAGGGAAAGGGGTACGTTATATCACATTCTGTTTTGTAAATAGGACTTGATATCCCAAATATTCCAAAGAGAATGCAGCAGATAGCATGTTTTCCTGGGCTGAAGATGCTACCATCAGCAGCTGAAAGCACATGGAGAAACAGTGGAGAGTGAGTCAGACACCTGCCTAGAGCTGGCCACCTTTCTCAAAACAGCTGAGCCTTTGGCTGAGCAAGGTTTGAAGTATATGATTCTTAAGAATGGCACAGGCTGTTTCTGTCTTCAACTGAGAATGTTTTACAGATTTAAAACAGAACGAGGGGAACTACCTAAGCTTGCACCCCTTAAACAATCTTTTCTAAGATTGAATATAACAAAAATCATTATTAAAAAAGAGGCTGGGGACACACAGTTTTTGAAGCACAAGCCTACTGTGTCCCCCTCTGCCTGGCAAAGCAATAAAGTTATTCTTTTCTACTTCACCCAAAACTCTGCCTCTGAGATTCGATTTGGCACCGGTGCACAGAGGCCAAGATTTTGGCATCACTGGTATATGTCTGCATTATTTCCTTTCAGGTACTTTGATTGAATATGAAATGAGCTAACATGTAAAAGTGATTATCTGAGGGATACTGCTCCCTCCCCTCCCTCCCTCCTTTCCTCCCTCCCCCCCCCTTCTTCCTTCCTTTCTTTCTCTTTCTCTCTCTCTCTCTCTTTCTTTCTTTCTTCCTCTTTTTCTTCTTTCCACCAGGACCAGGGGAAATTTCTTCCTATACTGCACATTAGGTCCAAGATTAAACCAAATCTGCCACGGCTTCAAGTTCAAGGCTCTTTCTGCTTCACAAACCTCTTGCTGTTACAATCTCTGAAAACCATGTCTAATACAAAAATGTTTCTGAATTTTGAATCTATTGGAGTCATAATGTCATGTTGATATGCTTTTGGAGAATTTAAGAGGCAATGCTGAATTCAACTTCTTACTGAAACCGAGCAGGACCCTGTGGGGCCCTCCTGGGCACAAAAGCCTTTCCAGGTCCCCCATTTCTTATTTCCAGGGTAAAGGTTTCAGCCTCTTAGACCTGCCCTGAGTTCCAAAGGGCCGATTCAAACAGCTACTAATCAAGGAAAGAGGGAATGCAGTAACAAAGGATGAACAATCAAGAAACTGTAGTGCAGCAGTTAAAACAGGATCCTGGTCCCTCCTCAAGAAAAAAAGAAAAAAGAAAAAAACAGAAAAAAAGAGGCTAATAAGGGGACTTCCCCGGGGGTCCAGTGGTTAAGACTCCGCCTTCCAATGCAGGGGGCACAGGTTCGATCTCCCCTGTGAGGCCAAGAATTTAAAAAAAAAAAGGAGGCTAATAAATTTTGATTCATACTGAAAATGATGCAATTAAAAGGAATCCTGGAGATTAGCAGTCCAAAAACTTCCACCAGTTTCTCTAAAACAGTACAGAATTTAGCTACTTGGTATGTTTCCCTTCAATTAAAAATTCGTTCCTGGTCTTCTTGCTGAGTGGACGACAAAACCTGAAGATATTCAGAAGACAACTACTGTAGGGTGCTCAGTGGTGAGGACTCAGCCTTCCATCATGGCATTTCAGAACCTTTTTTTTTTTTTTTGTCATAAGAAGTAGACATTTTCTCTAAAAATGTACTCACCTATTTAAAGTTACTTGTTTTTGTACACTTTATACCCATTAAAAAAAATTAAGTGCCAGGGAAAAGTTTTATGCCAAAATCTTGTGGGTTGTATTAAATTGTACTGATGGTCCTGCTCATGAATGATGACTTTGCAAATAAAAAATAATTGGTCTTAAATATTTATTTCCCTTTCCACCTTGCTTTCCATAGGATGGATGTATTGCTGCTGTAAATCTAGTAGTACAAGGAAAAATGAAGCAAAACTTCTCCATGATGCAGATGGAAATGGTTCTGTTGACAAAAGGGAACTACTGAACATCTTCGTGGTAAGTGAAGTAGTAAAGTATCCTTTTCAGGACATTATATAGTTAACTCAGTTTTCTTCCCTGTGGAGTCAGTGACAGTTCCCTATGTGGTCGGCTATTCTCGGGATATACGTTTGGAATGGCTGAAGCAATGTCAGTTTCACCACCCTGTTGGTTACTGAATGTGCAATTGTGTATCAGCATTTTCTTCTGGGTGCAGTCCACTCTGAAGCTTACAAACTTAGCAGGGTATTGAGATGAAAAATAAACACGATGATGGGCTTCCCTGGTGGCGCAGTGGTTGAGAGTCCGCCTGTGGATGCAGGGGACGTGGGTTCGTGCCCCGGTCCGGGAGGATCCCACATGCCACGAAGCAGCTGGGCCCGTGAGCCATGGCCGCTGAGCCTGTGCGTCCGGAGCCCGCGTACCGCAAAAAAAAAAAAAAAATAATAATAATAAAGTAAACATGATGTCCTAAAACAACTTATCATGTTTTCTCTGCCTCGGTGCAGAAAGTCTGTGGGAGCAGCTAAAATACAAGATGGTTTATACAGCAAAAAGACATGGACAAAGAATAAAGGTACCTGAGGAACTAATCTTTCTGGGAGCTTGACTAAAGTATTTTCTAATAGATAGCTCAGGGATCTCAGAGATCCTTTCCACCTCTAAAGTTCAAGGAGTCCCTTTATAAATCTTACCCCCCCACCCTCTGCCAGTGGAATGAGGATAGTGATTACCATGGTATGAGATAAAATGGATCCCAGAGTAAAAGAGTATTAAGTGGGACACTGTGCCTGAATAAAGATATGAAGTAAAATAAACATTATGAATGTAATACACTGAATTTGTAACACAGAATCAGAACTAGAATCAGATATCTTAGAAATGATCTGGTCCAAATGCTCTCATTTATAGATGGAGCTGAGTCCCAAACATGATACATAGTATAAATCTTAGCAAAAATGCGAGGAGAAATCAATGGGTAGAGCTACAATTATGACTGAATATTTTAACAAATGGACAAAGCTGTTAAAAATTTAAAACTATTTTAGCAAATGTATAGTTAACCAATATATGAAAAGAATTCAAGAGTATGATAATACTAATATTGCTTCCACTTTAATCTCATCAGAAAGAGTACTAAGATATATTTTGTAGTTGAACTTTGTAAGCATTAAAATTCAGAAATTCTGCATACATACTACATGTTGCAACACAAAATTGGGAATCTAAAATATTCTATAGAGAATTCCCAACCCCATGTAAATTTTCAAATATCCTCTTAAATATACTTATTTTAAAAACATTAAAAAAGTAATACAGCATACAAGTATTAGGGGGTGCCTCCAAAGCAGTACTCAGATCAGGGGTTTGTATTCTGGGATCTATGGATCTATGGCCTTTAGGAATCCTTGGCCACCCCCTTGGAATCAAGGGCAAAATTTTGCCTGCACGTGATCCATTTTCTTCAGGGGAGGGAGAGGGTCATCAGATTCTCAAAAGAACTAGGAAGAACAGAAGGATAAAAGTGATTATTTTCTAAATCTTATAGGAAAATTTACATAGGTTTTCATTAGTTAAAATGTATAGCTTAGTGAGTCAAGGAAAGAGAAATATTAAGTAGCTAGTTGACTTTTTCCTTAAAATGTTTAGAAAGAGAACAAAATAAAAGTAGGGAAACAAATAATAAAAGCACAGAGCAGAAATTAATTTAATAATTGGATACTATTTGTCTTTGATTAAATCAATAAAGATTAAAAACAATAAGATGTAATTCTGTCAAGGGCACTGTGAGAAGAGCGCCCTTACACACTGTAGAGGGAGCATAAATGGTTATAACATTCGTGGAAATTGGGTGGTCTGCATTAACAGGCTAAAATTTATCTTCATTTTTAGGGTCAACGTTACTTACTTTTGGTCAGGAAAAACAATAATTAATGTTGCCAAATATAAACGTTCTATGATTTTACATCACAAAATCATTTAAGATAGTAAAAATAAAAAACAACCTAAAGGAGGGTAATTTTAAAATTAATGCAATGGAATATGTACTTATAAAAAAAATCAGTGGTCTACAAACATACTCTCTATATAATGGCAAGTGAAAGAAAAACAGGGTAAAGAATAATACATACTGTATAACATAAGTTCTCTCAACATATGATACCAGGATGTTAAAATGGAATTCAGCCCAGGTATCAAGAGATTCGAAGGAAGTACTAGATTATAGGCAGAATTTACTATGGAAGTAGTTACATCTTAATCTCACTTTAAGAGTATGAAACGGTCAAGATGAGGGTTTTGGAGAAGGACTACTGGAGAGGATTTCTTGTGTGAAAGCCCCCACGTCAGTAGCATGAGGGTTTAAGGAGACCAGTGAGGTGTGGCGTGCCCTGCAGTTTGGGGAACACGATGTTCCAGTGTTTGAGTCACACGTGAGAAATCTAAAGAGCAGACCGTGGCAGCAGAGTAGCAGGATGCATTCCTGGAATCTGCTGGGACAGAGGATGCTTGGGTTTCTCCATGGATCAGCTATGGGCCACTGAGGGAAGAAGCCGGCAGAGCGCTGTCTTGGATCTTGTCCAGCTGAGCCACTTGGAGAAGTGAGGAATCCTCAGAAGAAGAAAGCTGGAGGTAGATCTGGAGAGTGGTTCTCAACCAGGAGCGACTTTCCACTCCTATTCCCCCAGGGGACACTTGGCAAAGTGTGGAGACATTTTGGTTGTCAACTGGAGAGATGGGGAGGGTGTGGTGCTACTACTATCTATTGTTTTAGGGACCAGGAATGCTGCTAAACATTCTACCATGCACAGGACAATGCAGAGCAAGAAAGAATTGTCGAGTCCAAAATGTCAGTGGTGCAGATGTTGAGAAACCCAGACTTGGAGCCTGTAGAGGGAGCCTCAAGGGATCAGCTGGATTAGGTAGAAATAGAAATACCATTCTTGCATATATGCTCAACAAAAATTTGTGTACATGATCATCAAAAGACCTGACCAGGAGTGTTCATAACAATTTTTGTAATAACCAAGAAGTGGAAATAGCTCATGTACATCAGCAGTAGAATGGCTTTAAATTGTGGTATATTTTCCCAATGATATACTATAAAACAATGAGGATAAACAAACTATTGCTATGTACAACAACATGCATGAATTCCACATACTTTAAAAGAAGTGCGTGATTCATGTCTAGGGAGTTGCAGGAGAGTCTCAGTAGTGAAAAGGGGGTGGGAGGCCTCAGAGAAATAGTGGTCTTTAAACATCTGCTATCCGGAGAGCTCTGAAACTATATGATCATGACAGTACCTGCCAAGTCAGGGCTCTCCTGGCCCCCTTTTCTCTCCTCTCTCCTGCTGTTCACACTCAGAGGGGTCAGAGAAGGGCTTAGTAAGATGCAGGAGAAAGAGTAGATGTACTAAATGAGGAAGGAAAGAAGGAAACAAACCATGCCTCCTTGCCCTACCCCCATGCTTCTCCTAGAAGAAGAGGGAAAGTATGAGGTACCCTGACATCTCCCTTCAAATTATTATCCTCTTAGGCCTCATCAATCTTCCAGTCAATCCTTCACTCTCACTTATATTGCCTGGAGTTGGGTGATGGACAAATTCTAGAAATTTCATAATCTTTTCTTACGACTTATGCATGCAGTCTAGTATCACTTCGGGATGTGGGAATACTGGATGCCTAGCCAATTTTTCAAGGCTTTCGGAACCTCTGCAAAGACACTGAGAAACCTTAAAAACTTTCATCTAATAGGCTACCTGTATCTAACCGTTACTCTTGTATTATTTGACTGTGAGATCTTAGCTTGCTAAGGCCAAGAGTGGTGCTTTGCCACTGTTAATTATGATTGATCCTTGGATTCAGGATTAGTAACGCTTGGGAAGCAGTAAGAGAGAGTTCTATTTAAGACCATGCCTCTAATTGAAATATGTTGCCAGCAGTTTTTCTAAAGATTCCTTCATGTTCAATCAGGATAGTTATGTTCAAATTCCCAGATGACTAATCCATTCTCTCTCTGTCTCTCTTTCATTTTATTAGGAATTTCTACATCAAATATGGGTCATTTAATTTAATCACCTGGGGCAAGGGTGGGGGGGGGAAGAGTGGTTGAATCGTCTCTCTAGGAAAGCTGGAAATGTCATTTTCCCTGCGTCCCCTGATAGCTTTTATGATGAAAAGTTGCTAGTGGAGTGTGAGAAATTCAGTGTCCTTCCAAGGCATGCATATCTGTCTTCCCAGTTGATCACTCTGCAAAAGGGTACAAAAAAAACCAAAGGTGCCAGTGGCAGAAGCCAGAGAGGAAGGATTAGATGCTTACAGAGCATCCTTTTATATTCATCTTAAGATCAAAGATAATTAGTCTAAAATGAGAACACTGTTTTCTGGGTCCAGAATTCTTATGACAGTTACCACTTCGATGTTTTCTCCAATGGGCTCTTAGAATCTTTTGTTACTTAATATGTTGAATGGATCCCTTTGTTCTGTAGAAGAAACCTAGACTATACTCAGTTCATTTCATTTCCAAGCCTCATTACCCAGAACTGATATACAATCTTTTTATTTGTTTTTAACAACTGAAACAGGTTGGATAGCAAAACTGACATAAACAATTGCCCCAATTCTGTCACATTGGGGTAAGAAATGTCACAAAGTGAGTTTGCTTCCAGAAGAGTTGAACTCTCTGATTTAGTTTCTTTGCAGGCACTACAAGCCCTCAATGGCCAGCAAACTCTGAATCTTAAAGAATTTACCAACTTGGTGTTCCATAAGATCGATACAAACGATGACAGCAAAGTAGCTACTCACCTTGGTCTCACTTTTCTTACCGAGCAGGAGTTAGTGGCAGTGTGCGAGATGCCCCATTTAGACAAAAGCATGAACCTTTCAAGCAAACCCCACTTGTAATATCACTGGGGCTTCATAATTTGACCGGTACAGTGTTCTCCAGTTGATACAATTGAATTGAATAAATATTTATTGACCATATTTACACTTAATGCACAGGGATTGAGACTTTGGTATATATAAAGAAGAGTAAAGGGAGATAAAAGGAAAAAAAGTTAGAGAATAGGAGATGAAGGGCCCTCTGCTGTTTGCTCTGGGAATTTCTTTCTACTAGAGGCTTCTCATCAACTTACGAATAAACTTGTTTTCCCTCCTAACTTCAATTATGCCATCTTCTATCAGATTTTTCCTTCCCTTTGGCAGTACATTTCCGGAAAGAGTTGTCCACACTTGCCTCCACTTCTGCTCTATCTTTTCTACATTTCTACTCTTTCTGCTCATTTCTTCAGCTGCGTTTTTTACCTGAAAATCTGGTCTCCTCTTTATCTCAGAGAAGGTGCGCTTCTTCAGAGGTAGGAGTGAGAAGGGAGGGTGTTTGTACCAAATGGCTTTAATCTGTAAACTGGGAGATGAGCATATTTGAGATGGAGGCATCATATCTAGGGATGATCCTTGAGAAACAGAAAGCTTGGAATTGTGGAAAATATGATGTTAGTAAGATTAAAAAGGGGTGGGGTTTCCCTGGTGGCACAGTGGTTGAGAGTCCGCCTGCCGATGCAGGGGACACGGGTTCTTGCCCCGGTCCGGGAAGATCCCACATGCCGCGGAGTGGCTGGACCCGTGAGCCATGGCCTCTGAGCCTGCGCGTCCGCAGCCTGTGCTCCGCAACGGGAGAGGCCACAACAGTGAGAGGCCCGCGTACCGCAAATAACAAACAAACAAACAAAACAAACGAACAAGTCAGTTCATGTGAAAGCTTGCAAGGAACAGATTCAGACCACCCAGAGTTGATAAGGAGGCTAAGTAAAGCTAGAAAAGAACCAGAAAAATGGAGAGAGGAAGGCCCGGTGAGGCCACTGAAAACTTTATTTGGAATATGCATCCGAAAATGGTAATCATCAAACAGGAGAAATGCCAGAGATTTTGTCGTGTTTTGTTTTCATTTTTAATCCCAGAGGGGCTGCAAGATGGCAGGGGTTGGAGTAGAGAGGATAAACCATTCAACCCAGGGTCAAAATCGTTGCTCAAAGGATGAGTATTCTGGAAGTAGACGGAACATCATGAACGTTTAAGACTTAGCATCGTAAGTGAATTTCAAAAGGACAGGTCAAGAATGTTTGAAAATATCCATGGATCCTGCTTGTAGTGCTGGCAGCGGGTGGGGGTTATTGGGGAATAGGAAAAGTGACTTCCCATAGAGAAGTATGAGGGTGGCTCAGTTTGAGGAGTTGGAAAACATGTTCCAGAAAACAGAAAATTGTGCAGGACTTTTTGTTTCCTATCTGTGCTGGTTCCTCAAGAACAAAGTATAAGGAACCAATAAAATAGGGAATGTAGTTGGAAGGGGCCTAGAAATAGAAAGAGCTAAGTTGAAAAAGGATGCGAATCTGAAAGAGAGGTGTTGGGCTCAGGCAACTGAGGTTACCTGCAATTCGGGAACTAGGATCTTTGACCTGTAAGAGTATCTCAGAAGGAAGAGGATACATTATGATTTCTGGACAGTTTAGAGATCTAATCGCACAATTCATTTCCTCTGATATAAAAACTTATATTTTAAGAAAAAATATTGGCTTTTGTAAAATGAAGATATCAAATAAACTAGTTGCACTCTGGAGTAACAATGAAACTGTTTCTTGGCAAATGCATATACGGAATTAAAACTGATAGAACTTGCTTTTACATGGAAATTATTGGAGACTGTTGTATTATCTCGTCAAGGGACAGCTGGGTCATTCCATGTATCAAGAAAAAAGATGCTAAAATTGTTCTGTTGAACACAGACAGCTCGGTGCACCAGAGGACAAGGAAGAGAAAGTAACGAAGACATAGAGGGCTGATATTTGCAGAAGTGTAAAAGGACTTTGCCAGTATTTGACAGAGGAGAATAAAGTGCTTCACTCACATGTAAAGGGAAAGTGAGCATCACAGAGAATATTTGCAGTTGTACAAGCCTAAGTGTATATACCTCAAATAAGATTTCTGTTGTTATCATTGTTATCGAAACATCAGTGTTGGGAGAAATGAGGATGTTTGATTAGGTGTACCAGAATAGCGTTGCCTATGTGCCAACTTATATCTTTTTTGATTTCTCAAAATAAAAAGCAGCAAGCACACCACTGGTATCTGGTGATCCAATGAATATTGAAACCAAAGATCCCCAGCACACCCAGATACAACCAAAACAACTTCAGGAACATATATGAAAATCCCAATTTGAATGCCAATTGTCTGCAAAAGAATGACCAACATCAAATCTGTTGGAACAGAAAAATACACAATAGCTGTAGAATTCTAGACATAATTATCATGGTCATTAGCAAATCAAAGTTAGAAGATTAATCAAAAGAGAGGTATAGGGTTAATGCTAAGATAATAAAACGATGAAGAGCCATAAGCTCCATGAGGGCAAGAGCTATTCTGTTTTACGTACTTTGGTATTTCCTGTGCTCTCACACTTTCTGGCACATAATAAATGCTCCATAAATAGTTGTAAAATGAATGAGTGTCTGATAAGATGTCATATGAAAAGCAAATGAAGAAATAAAGAAGAAACAAGAGCAATATGCAATGCTATCTGTAGGAAGAAAGGCCTCTAGGAGACAAGTTTGGAAATTAACATATACTTGAAAATGCATTGCAAATGTCAAAATATAAACACAGATTGTTTAGCAGAAGTTAATTACCAGTGGAAAGTAGCACTGGGGGGCCAGAGAGAGGTTAAAGGGAGATTCTTTCTTTTCATTACACTTTTCTGTAGGGTTAGTTGTTTTTTGTTTTTGTTACCATAAGCATGTATCATTGCTATAATTCAACAAGTTAGTTTTTATTTTTATTTTATGAACAAAAGCTTCCAGGAAGGAGATCTTGAAGAGAATCACAAGGACAGAAAATTGAAGCTCAACATTCAATATTATTGAAGAATGAAAACAGAAGGGACCTCGAGACAAGTCAGGATACATGATCAAGCATGAAATTCTGCAGACTTTACTTGGAAGTATAGCAATTGGCATGCTACCATGCGCCGCTTAGGAGTCGTTCTTGACATGATTTAGGAAGATTTATAGATACTGTTCACAACCTCAAGAGCGGAAAGTGTCCAGACAACCAAGCGCCAAATAGCCCAGGGACAAAGGAGACTTAAGTGGCTCGTAATAATAAACCATGCAAGTGAAAAGAGAGGAAATGAAAGGTTATTGAGCAGATATTTGGAGTAAAAGAAAACAGGGACAGAACATAATGGAAGACCTTTTACTGAGCGACTAACCAGAAAGGCCAGTGTTTTAGACTGGAACACCATGGAATCAAACTGGGAAACTGGGAACTACCAGGAGATAATACGGAATCAAGTTTCTTTATAGAAGAGAAAAAACTGCAGTGTTTAACACTCTGCTATAAAATACTGCTAAATGCCTCTAGTGCCACCTTGCTAATGAATACAGAGCTTGCCATTTAAAATCCTGCATCCTCCCTTGAAAATCTGGTCATTCTTATCTCCTGAGACACTCCAGTCCCACCTTTGCTAATTTCCCAGCCCCAGCACAAATTTTCATGAGGTTCTTATTTGAAAGAATTGAAAGACAATTCCTTGACACAGGTTGGCTTCTTTTCTAGGTTGACTTCTTTAGAGCAAGAAATGCTAATGTGAGCGTGTACAGTAAATTTTGACTTTTTGGAGGGAAGAGGCAATTTTTTGGTAGTGTTATAAAAACATTTAAGATATTAATGGGAAGAAATACATGATCCATAAATATCAACAAAATAACCAGATTGCAAAAACAAGACTAAAGACAATATTCGAGCAGCTGTCCTATCACCAGTTAAACTGCTGAACTTGGTAGTGAGTAATGGAAAAGCATCCATAGCACTGAACTTCAGAGTCCCCAGGAGTAGCGAATGTGTTCACCAACACAACAAACAGCCCTGAATAACGTGGATATAAATTATGTGCATATGTATATTTCAACATATAAAAACTGTGCAATTCTGAATTATGCCTGACAAAGATTGATATGTGTTTTTAAATAGAAAAAAAAAATAATGAAAACTCAGACATGATTTTAGGTCCTTCTGAGTCCCATGATCTCCAGCTCAATCATCTCTCAGCAGCTTCAGCTCTTGGCTGGTCGATCTTTTGATGGGAAGCTTCTGGATCTGCACAGGCAATCCTTTCTAGGGAGACCCAGCAACCAACCTTCTAATTTGTCTGGGCATAAATCCACAGGCAAACTGAAGAGGATTAGGAAGCAATGTGTAAGAATATCAGAAGAAGGAAAGCAATTCGTCAGCCTAGGATTTCTGAGCACCTTCCACATTCACAACCCTGGTTGGCTGTGCTGGTGGGGCCATGTAGTGAAGGAAATGGCAATTGTAGTCAGGGCTTGATAAATGTTCGGAGAATGAATGAATGAATGCTAAGACTTAGAAGGAAAAGAGCGAGGAAAACTTCAAAATAAGTATTTAGAAATAGTAAGCATCATAAATTGCTATAGGTAGAGGTCGGCTTAATTTGGAAAAGAGAAATTCTTTTTTGGTAAGTGATAACGTGGAAAAAGCAAATATGCAGAGTTCATGGTATTTTGAAAAACGTGATGAAACATCAGCGAAAAATTCCATCTTTTAAGTTGTTAAAAGAGGAAATATTAAAAGTTGTCATCACAAGAAAAATATTTGTAACTATGTGAGGTGATGGATATTGACTAAACTTACTGTGGTAATCATTTTACAATATATACATATCAAATTATTATGTTGCACCCCTTAAACTAATATGTTATGTCAAATATATTGCAATAAAAAGAATCCCCAAAAAGCATTTTCTTTCTTCTCTTTTCCACATCAGTAACCTGCATTGCTTTTCAACACAGGCAACTATCTCCCAGCACCTTCCGATACAGCTTCTTTCCTTGCCAGCAGTGAGAATGGAGAAGTGTTATTATAACTAAGTGGTCAAAACAGATTTCAGCTCCCCTGTCTCCAGTCCCACTTCTCTGTTGGTCATGCTGAGTCCCTAGAAGTTTGAAAAATCTTTCGGGTTGTGAACTTAGCAGTGTGTTTTCCCTTTGCAAAGGATGGTTATTCTTCTGTTACTTATGATTCCCTGACTTTCCCTGGGATACATAGGGAATTCTAATCCTACCTGCTGTTACCGGGGTTTTGCACAGACTTCTTTGGCATAAGGAAAACATAAGGAACAAAGATTAGATTTCTCTGTTAAAAAAAAAAAAAAAAAGACAAAACCTATATTAGTATTTTGCCATGGAAACCAAAAGGAAAGTATCTTATGAGAATGTGATGATGTATGCTTTATATTTGAGCCGCTGTTGTGGCATTTAGATAGTTGTCTTTATCCATTAAAAAGTACAGGGAGAGTATAACACTTGCTTTCACTTCCTGCTGACTTTCTGCCTCAGGGGCATGTTCCCTAGTTAGTGACTCAGTGTACTTCGCTTGTCCTTGGTTGACCTCCCACCAAGCCACAAACCCTATTACGTACAGTCTCCTTAAGATCAGAAAATTCATCTGTCCCTTTCAACTTGAATATGCCCATAATTACAATCCAAATGATTTAAATCGAGAACCCCTCATGCCCAACCCCCAAATGTTGAAAAGTTGTCTTGTGGGATGAGGGTAGTGGGAAACAAGTCAGCCAGGTGCCCATGGGTATAAGGCGATAGTTTTATAGCACTGGGCTGGTCAGCATAGACCTAAGGCTTAAGTCAAGGTGATACAATGAGAAATCAAAAAATCAGAAAAGGAGAGGAGAACTAGGGAATGAATAAACGTTTAACCTTCTGCACAGCTTTGGATGGTCCTTGAAATTATTTCCTCAGGGAGAAGAATATTGAAAACAGCCTTGCAAACAGTCATTTCCTTCTAATCTTAGAAGTCTGCAATTTTCATGCTCCTATGACTTGGTCATAGCTTCAAGATTAAAGGTCAAATAATCAATATCGTGTAGAGATGTAAATGTATATGTGAACACAGGTACATTACCTGATGTTCTCAACTCAAAATGAAAAGAGATTTTATTCGTCACCTGTATTTTCACCTAACAACCCTACCATTGAATGCTTTTCTATATAAGGACATTCAAGGAATTGAGAGTCTGGTTGAGATGAAAGGATATAAAAAGACGAATGTCGATAAAAATGCCAGTGAATATATTGTATATGCTAGTGGGTGGTATTAGACAAAGGCTCTTGCTAATTGTTCTTTTACTATTTTATGGGAGAATTGACTTTAGAAGAATTTATCAATGGCATGAAAAAAGAATAGCATCTTCTGGAGGTTGTTTCCAAGAGTTTCGACATTTCCAATGTACTGAAAGTAATCTGTGATGGGAAACAGCCAGATAGACGTAGGAGAGAGGCTTCTTCCAAACCATCTGACAAGGCTTGTCTAGGGAAGGTGAAAATGAAGTGGCTATGGGAACGCCTTAGCCAGCTTTCATTGGATACAAAACTTTCAGTGGAGAAGAAATGTGATTTTCTGTACATACATGCTATTGATTTCAGGTTTTTATTATCATTGGTATCCGCTTATGAATAACCCACTTAAGTCCCACAGAGACTGTCATAAAGATCCTAGACAGAAGCAGTGTTGCTTCTGTTTATACATTAGTCCTCTCTCCGCAGATTAGAACGGGGTGATTAAACTGAAGGATTGCCTCCATAGCTATCAGTTCAAAATAGAGCTCGCATGTATGTTTTCTTGCCCACCTAAGTTGGTCTGCATCTTGAAATAGAACTGGATTATCTGGGCAGTGTCTCCACAGTTTAGCATTCTTAGACTAAACGTGCATTTGGCACATGTGTTTGCTGCCTCGTGGCTCTTGTCGCATCTGTATATTATAAGTGACTGAGTTCTGGTCTGTTGAGAAACTTTTTTTTTTTTCTGCCCTTTTTCTCCTCCCCTACTCTGAACGCTGTCTTGAATCAGTAGTAATGTCCTGCTCCGAAGGAAAAGTCTTAAACTATGTAGTAAAAGGAGAAAATTTCCAGCTGGGCAATGAGAATGTTTCCATCTGATTTGTTAAAAATCTGGGTCCAATTGTGCATGAAAATGCGATGCATCATCTGTAATTATTATGCCAGTTGGAGGTTTGATCAGAACAGCAGACAGCCAGGCTGTGCAACAATAAGCACTTGACATTTCAAACAGTCCTGACATTATAGCTCTGACATTTCATTTTTTATATCCTTTCCCAAAAATGAAATGATGAATGGGATTTCTTGATGGGTTAGAACTTTTAAAGTTTTGGGTTCTATATCACAGGCCCATTAGTACCCCTGTCAATGCCATGCTTCTTATGGAAGCACAGTGGAGATTGAAGAGGAGATGTAAGCTGTCTTTATGTTAAAAGCTTCCTAATTACACTTTCAAATTTGGGTTAAAAACACACAACTTAAACTACAAATACAGGAGTGGACTGTCCCTATCTCCTTCATAGTTACAGATGTGGATAAACTATAGATAGAGTTATAGATGAGACACACATGGCAGTAGAAATGAAGTGTAAATGGAGGTAGGAAAGTTATAGGCAAATATATTGATGAAGATACAGATGAAGATCATATAGATGGAAGTAGAAATATTCTAGGATCTTCCAGTAGGCTTTGAGGAGATTTACAAAGTACATAATGTAATGTAAAATATGTTGAAATAAAATGATCACAGATAAAGTAAGGTGAGAAAAATCATTGCAGCCATAATGCCACAAAGTCCTGCTCATTTGGCAAAAGTGGGCTACCCACTGGACTCTGAGCTCCCTAGCAGTAGAGGTGAAAAGGAAAACATCATTACAGTCTTACCCCAGCATCAGCCCCATCCTGCAGTAGTGGTTGATTTCATTTTATTTTTCACCCACATTCCTCTGAGGCACCCAATATCCTTTCCACATAAAAATGGGTCCCAGTTCCCCCTTCCAGGCTTCTGTGTTCTAATAACCTCAACCCCTTCCCTTTGTTTTCCCAGTCTAGGATGGAAGCTGCTCCCTGCCATTTCTGTGTTACTTTAGTGTCTTCCCTGTGCTTTTCCAGTCCTCCAAGGTCTTTTAAACCATTTTTTTGTATTAAATTCTCTCTGGTAAAATAATTGGTGTGTTTCCTGTTTCCCTGACGGGATCCTGACTGATCCTGGGCCCTGACCGATTGAAGGGTCAGTCCTCTTTAGGGTGGGAAACTCACCCCTTCCTTTCCCTCTATGTACTGAGTCCTTACTCTGGAATTGTGCTGAGTGGGCTTTTTTAATACTAATAGCCCAGTGATGTGACTGTTATCCCCACTTTATGTCTGGTAGCTGAGACTCAAAGAAGTGATCATTTTCCCAGATTATTGCCTGATAGTATCACATGTTACAGGTTGAGCATAACAGGGAAACTGCTGGCAACAGAGCAATGTAGTCAGCAGGACCCCAGCCCAGCACCACAGAGAGGAATATGGAAGGATGGGTTTGGAGCTGAGGGTTTATAGCTTAATTACCAGCACAGATGGAATAGGTGGGACAAGCCCAGTAGACAACTTAAGGACACCTCCCCACCAATAGGTACCATAGTAAGAGCATCCAAGCTCTGCTTTATCCCAGGTCCCATCTACCACTTTATGCTTTGAACCCTGTAGTTCTCAGGTGGCCTCCTCAGGCTCCAGTCACCCTGTTGCCTCCTTGGATTCTCCTCCTCCATTCATCACCCGCTTTGGAATCATGACTGGTTTGTCTAATTTACCAGGCTCAGCTTCAGTTTTTTCTTGGATGCTGCCTCTTAGATTTCTAAGCTCTGTTCCATCACTATACCCAGCTCTCACTCCAGATCTACCTCTTCTCAAGTTGACCCAAGGCTTATGGAGGAGAGGTGAGAGCAGTACTCCCTTCCCTTTCCAAAGAATAGCTTTGTTCATCTGTGAGAAGGGTAGGTAAGCCCACAGGGCATACACTTGTCAGCTTCTTAGGAAAATGGGTTTGTGGGTATAGTTGAAGGATGTGAAGATACTAGCTGTCTGTTATTAGAAAACAAATCATAAAATAATGTCTACTACATAGTTTTGCTGAGGATGGTCCTAAGAAGGAGATGAGCTGCAGTTCAGGTACAAAAGAATTTAGATTAAATCATGGATAGGTGAGGTCAAAAAAAAAAAAGCTGGAAAAACAGAACCATATTCTTTCCTTCCAGTCTCCATCTCTTAAGACCATATCTCCCCAAAGTCATGTTCTTCTCTATGGTTTCTTCTGTAACTTAGCATTGTGACGCTCAGTCCAAGGAAATAGTCCTAATTGAAATATGAGGTCATGTTACTTTAATGAACTGAATATTTTAAAGTAAATTTAAATTCCTCCTTTAGATGATAAGCTTTAATCAGAGCCTCTGCCCAGTGATTTTTTTTTGAATTTTGAATTTTTATTGTATTTATCAGAATTCCATGTGTTTCCCCACTAATGGTTTTACAGTAAAATTTCAGGCAAGGGATCCATGACAAGTAGGGACTGGTGTGTGAAGAACCTCAACAACTTTAACTTCTGAGACTGTCACTCCCATTTATCAAAGGGCAGTAGAATTATAGCATCTAACGAGATCCTAGATCTTCCAATGTATTTTCCTCTTTTTAAAAAATAATTCTTTGATGTTTTGAAGGAAAGTGACTCTATTTTAAGAAGAGAAAAAGATAAAAGGGAAGGTATTAAAGGAGCTAATAATCTTTACCTTTATAAAAATACCCCCCCCTTAAAAAAGAAGGCTGAAATCCTATCACTCACATCTCTCTACATAAAGATGCAGCAGAAGGAATATGGCCTGTTTCTTTGGCCCAAATATCCACAGAGAAAGGAAATAAGAAGGGAAAAGAGATGAGTGGCAGCTGGCGCAGGATGAGAATGAGCTCTCTAATGCAATTTCTCTTCTTTCTCCTCAAGTCAGAGACTGGTGTGTAGTTGTTGCTTGCCTTGGTTCTTTCTGGCACAGAGAGGGGACACTTCCCCTAGAGAAGAGTCTACTGACATAGAACTGTGGTTTAAAGCAGAAGAGTATGCTTGTGGGGACAGCAGAATGGTTTAGGTGGGGCAAATATTTCCTTCATTTTTCTTTCCAAAATGTATTGGCATAAGTGTAATGGGAAAAGAAATGAGAAAATATGGTTTGTTTAAAATTAAGTATATGTCTGAGAGGCAAATGAAGAGGCCTAAAGGAAGGGTTACTGCATTAAAGAAACAAGATGAGTGCTGGAAAGAACCTGCCTCCTCTGCTCCCTCCCTCACCCACCAAATTTATATTAGAGTAACCTTTAAAATGAAAATGAAATACAGAAAATTCCTGACATTTAAAACCAAGCTACGGTCTTATGCTTGCTGAAGAAACCTAAATCGTTAAAACAGTGTGGACAGGGAGTAGCTTTTTCAATACTCAGAGTCTGTGGGGACAGCTGTAGGTAGGCAAAATTGGACATCCAGACTAAACCCAGGGAATACAAAGTTTTATCAGTAGGATGACTGACAAGATTGAGAAAAATACTTGGGGAGGCAGAATTGCTTGGTGGAAAGAGCAGTGGCCCGGATTCTTGTGACCTTTGACAAGCCATTTACCCCTCTGAGTCTCGGTCTGCTCAGCTCACAAAGCAGTGTGGGTGTGGGGAAAATCTCTGAGGTCCCTTCCACCTTTAGTTTTCTATGATTCCATGACACATTCATAATGCAGGGAATGACACCTCAGTACCTCAAAAAGATTAGTTGCTTAGAAACAAAATTTAAGAGAAAACTTGTTTGACACAAATTGCATGAAGCCCAGATTTCTTTAGACTCATGGCCAGTGAGTTTCAGGTTGCTCCCTGTGGGCTCTATGTTTCCGTTTGTTACTTTGGGGCCTAACCCCTCAATCTGAGTTGCTCCCCATCCTGAATGGAAGGGAAGATAATTGACAGGCTTCCTACAGAGAAGTCACCTGAAAGTCTTTTTCAAAATAAATGTTTTGATATCCCCGATATCCCTGGTGATTCTAATGCATGACCAGGTGTTGAAACCACAACTGCCCACATCTCCTCTCTGAGATACCCACCCCCGCGGTCATCCATCCACACTGTCTCCCAGCATTGATCTTTTTAAGTTCTTTGGAGCCATGGAGTCCTGCATACTTCATTTATAACATACAACAAAAAGATCCGTCTTGCATGTAGGCCTGCAGACTAATTTAAATCCTACCTCCCTCACTCACGAACTGTATTACCCTTTAAGTCATTTTCCCTCAATGTGTCTGAGTTTCCACACTCATGAAATGAGATTAAAAATACTCCAATGAATTGTTATGAAGATGGCAGGAGAGAACATATATAAGCACCTACCACAGAGCTTGGCCTAG